ATGTGAGGCTCCAACATCAAGGAAGATTCCTGGGGTATGTAGACTTGTGAGAGATAGGTTTAGGCTAAGATGGGATTGGAATATATGTTAATTTTAAAAAATGAAATCATCTTAGAGGGCCTGTTTTATTAATAACAATATAGAACAAAATATAGAATTATAGAAGCGGGCTTGGCTGGATTTCCAACTATCGTTGTTGCAATAAGGAAAACACTTATTAGTGTGGAGATGGATAAAAATATAAAAGCTAAAAAATTATGTGCGATCTAGTCATACTCGTCATTATAGTTTTATTATATGTTAATTTGTACCACCTTACGTATACTAATTAACAAGGACATTTATTAAAAACATTATAAGAAAATATTCAACAATATGGACGTGCTTCGTCCTATTGTCTTAAGTGTATATTTAGCACTTGTTCAGCCCCCATTTTTTCAAATTAAAATGGGTGAAATAGTTCTTTTTTTTTTTTAAAAAATGAGTGGTTGAAAAATAACGTGTAATATATATTATTTTATGGAAGATAGTGTAATTGAAAATAGGAAAGAGAAAAATGAAATTTAACGGGCTTGTTTTTGTTATTAATAAAGTACCTATTATTCTTTAAGAAAAATGAAAATCCAATAACATGGCATGCGTTCTAATTTTAATCACAAATTATTGATTATGGGACTTAATTTTTTTAGTTAATGATTCTTAATTAATTATTTAGAGATCTCTCTGTTCTCTTGAAGAATTAACGTAACACATTACACGAGTCAAAATACACCATCTATTCCAAGCATTACCAATGGGCAGTGGGGTTCAGAAGGAGATGAGTGCAGTTAGAAGTACCACAGAAGCACAAATAGAGGCCAAGTTAAACAACGGAATGCTGAATATGTATGTCTATGAGCGTACGCAATTGAGAAAAATATGAAGAAAAAGGAGAAATTAAATGAGACTAGGGTCCTTACAAAATGAGCATTAATTAAACTAATATGTGGATGGATCGATTTATGATTGTTAGATTTAAGATATATATCCCCAAAAAAATTTGTGCTATGCTTAGTATCCATTAAGTCATAACGTATAATACATCCTCTCTTGATTGACAATCATAATTAAATAAAATTGTAGCAAATGCGAAATAAACTTTTAATCATTTTGTATATTTTGCAGGATCATTTGTGCTCCTTGATCTTAATATTTATGTTATAACAGCTTCTTAGTTATAAAGTGCAAGATATGTATTAAGACTCAAGTTTTTTCAATAAAAAACAAAAAACAAAAACAAAAACACAGAGAGAAATAAAAGTTATACCCATTGAACGCCTGAACAGGCAAAAAGTACGTCGGGCGCCTCATCCCGTCTCCTTCATTAACTGAAAGATGGGACAAGTTGGTATTTGATTAATTAATATATATGTACCTATGAGATTCTCTCTGGCATGCATGTTACAGTTCCAAAGGCATGCAGTAGGTGGCTAAATAGAATAATACTGTAATTTAATGGACAGCCGGCATTTGTGCAGAGAGATCCGTGTGTCTGTGGTAGCTGTAAATTACGTCCTCCGGCAATATCAGACCCTTTGCATTTGGAAATTCCCTGCAGTTAGGGCTGCACATGATGTGAATCCAATTTTAAATCTAACCCCCTTTTTAATAGCTACCTATTAATTTATTCATTAAGGTGTTATGTAACTCTACATAGTATATTTAGGCGCACATGACAATTGGAATCCTTTGTCCATGGGAGATCAGTAAACAGTTCTTTATATGTAGAAAACAATATTTTTTACCTTTTTAAAATTAGTTCAAGATGATACTAAAACGGAGAAGGATTTTATGAAAAATTCACATCCACAGAGTTTGTTTAAAATAGAATAATAAATAAATTTATCATCTTTGAATTGTTAAGAATATATAGTTCAACACACCGAATGTCCAAATCATTTCTGCAAATACCATTCACCACCAAAATGGCTTTCATGGAAGGTCTTGTATCATCTCTATGGTGGGGCAATCAAAGTGTCATTCCATTTTAATGGGGGGAAAATAATTTTTAGCATACAATTTTGAATGAATGGTCAAAAAATGAATTGTTATACCTCTATAAATTGAATCATTTTCTTTGTAAATCTTATACACAAGAATTGCAGAAGTAATTGACATGCAATTTGATTAAAGTACACAATTTAGAAGAAACGGCTAACTATTTGTTATGAATATGAATTAAACAACTTTGTCCGAATTTTTTTGACATAATGATTGACATCCTCTCACATGCGCATGAGTCTCGCATAAATAAAAAAGTTCAAAAAAGAAATAGATTCTCTCCTATTACGAGTGTCGGTCAGTCATTATGTCAAAAAAATTCAGCAACATAGCATGATTCTATGAATATTGTAAGACACAGTTGAACATATTAATTCCTCGCCCCTCGTGGCGTATTCTTCAAGAATCAACAGAGACAGCTGGGATACCCTACAAGATTCTTCAAGATTCTCCATTTTGCGGCTGATTTATACTATTCCAACTGCCACTCAAGGGCTGTGAATCCTCCATAAAACTTTATATTATCTCTGCACATTTTTAATTAGTGAAAAGTGAAGGATGAACAAAAAAAATTCATTTATTAGCAATATGCGTCTAGTGTGGTGGGGTGTCAATGCCAGCAGCCAGAAAGAGATGCTTTTGATGGCTAACTTAGTAAGCTTAATTTAACTTGCATGTATAAGAAATGGCACTGCTGTAGTCCTGCCCTAATTATGAAACCCATGTTTAGTATGAATGGGCATGTGAATCTTGGCCTTTTCAATAAAAAAATAAATAAAGGAAGGGAAAAAAATGCTTTGTTTATTGGTTCATGGTTAGTGGTGACAAAGGTGTAAAACGGTATGTTTAAAAAAACGTTTAATTTTAATTTAAATAAATAAATATATTTCAATTGTACTTAACTTTCTTAATTATCATTGAACTATAAAATTTTTTGAGTTTCCAATGTTGTTTATTCAATAGTTAACTAAATGCTACACTTTTTAGTTATTAGAAGAACTCAAGTATTCTAACTCGAACTTAGAAAATACCTCTTAAAGATCTCTTTATTTTCATATATACGAGAACGAAACAGTTAAGTTATTGATATTGGTAGGAGAGAAAACTCACTCACTCCTTTAAAATGATCGAATCTTAGCTGGAGGCATGCGCAGTTACATGCACAAGTGGAAAGGTGGTAGGTTGATGGGCTATTTCTCAATATTTAAAAAATGGGATTATCTTCTTTATTTTTTTATTTTTTATTTTTAACCTAGCTAGGGCAAGGGCTGCAATTTTTCCCTCATTTAGGAAACCTTATTTAACTTCTGTTTATTCTACTTTACTCTTTTTTTTCTTTTGACGTTTTAGTTATATGTTTTATTATTTTCTTCATCAACATCATGGTTCAAAATTTGGGTTTTGACTATGATTCCAATTTGGCATATTTCAGGAAAGCTTTTTAGAGTCTAAAAAGTGGAAAATATGTATAGTTTTATCATTAAACAATCATGCATAATTTTAAAAGCAGTTGTACTACATGTATATAATAGTTTATATATGATTTATATGCATGTGATGTAGTATAATATGATTATGACAGAATTTCTTCAACTAAATAAAAAATTCCACTCTTTTTTTGATACCTAATATGTATGTAGATCATTATATAACTCATTTATGTACAAGCAACATTATTTTTGTAAAAGTAGGATCTACGAGATTTGATTGACTCATAAAAAAAATGGGTAAAAAAAGCTAGTGTTTATTGACAGATAACTCTCCACCATTATTGTAGCTAGTGTTTTTTCAAAAAATAGATAACAACAATCAAATAACAAATTAATAACTTTGCATTTATCCTTTGGTTTGAATTTAACAATTTTATCACTTCAAAATTTTATGGTCTCCTTATCACTTCTTTGATCCTCATTATTTCTGTTGCCAAATTGTGTGAAGTTTGTAACATCCTCCCACAAACTTTGCTGGGGTTGAAGGCATATTTCGGTTCAAAAAATTGAGAGCTGCTATGGACATTAGTTTGATAAAGAAACCAACAATAATTTTTATCTTCATTCTTGCGAAAATATGTCTCGTGTATATAAGCATTTCAAGTGCTTCCCATGTTGCATGGGTTCTGTCTAAGCCTATAACAAGTTCGAGGGTTTCTTCAAAGTGTTGCGATGATCCAACCATGAATGAGAAGATCGGACTTTCACCATGCAATAAATTCATTTGTTATTTTGGGATTAATTTTTTTTTTTTTTTATACCGTTTGGATTTGATGTGATGTATTTGGTGAGGGCAAGGTCTTCATTGGTGAAATGATCAATCTGTTCATGAATTTATTTGTCAATTTTGGTATGAAATTTTTTGTTTCTGTTGTTTTGCTTGGATATGATGGGATGTATTTAATAGATGAGAATTGAAGAGAGACGAGTAAAGAATTTCTCAACATTTACGGTAGTAAAGTAATAGTGAAAGAGAAGACTGGGCATCGAGTGCTCACAATGGCTCTGAGATTGATACCAAGAATAAAATATGAAAAGAACTTTAAAAATGAATAAAATACTTTATTATAACATTATTGACGATAACCATAAGCCATGAGCAACTGACACTCATTTATTCCTATTTATAATAAAATAAGTTCAACAACTCTCATTATTATTGTAGCTAGTGTTTATCAAAAAAGTAGATAACAACTATCATATTAACAACTTTGGATTTATCCTTTTGGTTTGAATTTGATCGCTCCTTCGATCCTCATCATTTTTGTTGCCAAGTTGTGGGACGTTTCTAACAACATGCAAACAGAAGTGAATGTGTACATACGCATGGAAACTTGAAACATAATAAATATAGAGATAGAGAGATTATGCATAATGGAAATAATTAATAATCCACCAATGGCCACTGCTAATAGAAATCCATTATAATTAAAAGCTAGCGATGATAAATCTACTTCTGCATGTGAATGTTTAAGCATTTGGTCCTTTGGTCTTGTTTGCAAAAGAATGACCAATACCGGGACTGTGACCGGGTCCTGTGGGTCGAAAATCATCAGTCTTTCCATGAACGTTGTCCTTTTGGGATGGAAAAGAGTGACCAATTCCAGGAGGTCGAAAATCATTTACACCCCTTGCATCCGAACTGTCGATTTCGTGTTCTTGATTCGTTGGCGAGGGAATGCGCTTTTGTCCTACAATTTGAGGGGAAGCATTGGCAGAAAAAGTAGCTGGGAAGTCGTGTTTTTCTTGTTCATTGAGCTGTTTAAGTTGCCTCGCCTCGATTAGTGAAAGTTGAAGGCAGGAAAAACCGGCAAGAAGGAAAAGCAAAATCGAGATATTTTGTATGTAGGCCATGAAAGGGAAGTGGATATGCAACTGTAATTCTAACTGCTGTAATTTGTGTTTGATTTTAAGGTAGAGAGATTTGTTGTTTTTGAGCTGAATGTTTCGATTTCTGAATTGTCTTGGTATTTATAGCCTTGGATATCACATCATGTAAAGATCTTAACCATTGAAAGTTCATAATCATTAAAGTCCCTGATGAAAACTAAAAAAAAAAAATGTCCCTAGTGTTGTACTATGGATGGTTCTGATTTCACTTATTTTTCATTATTATTATTATTTTTTTAATATCAGAATGTCTCTGCAAAACGAGATCCAGTAATTAGTTGAGTCTACAGCTATAAGAAGGAGGACCGAGCTCACTCCAGAGCTCAAGTAAGCATGTCATAGAGGCATGCCTCATTAATAAAGATAAAAGTATAGTGCATACTTGGAGACTCGATCTGACCTCCAACTAAGGGTATAAAACAATAAACTTTCTATGTTTTAGATGAGTACAAATAATACAACACTTTATTCATCCTAATTATGATCCTCGTTATTATATGGCCTTGAACCTTGTCATGTCCAATTGCTCATTTCTAAAAGTTCTGATCATCAATGTATAAAAGAGTGAATATAGATAAATTCATGTGCGAGTTGCTAGACCTAGAATGATTCTACATGTTAACAACCTATTCGAAGACCAAAGATGATGTCTTATCTGAGATTTAGATCGGACAAGATATCAAGGAGTTTCTTTGTAGACTGCATGACTAGCATTTGTGATCCAATTCCGCTACAGTGATCAAATTCTTTTGACAGAGAGGGTGATCTCTCACAATGGTGGGGCCCACTTTTTTTGAATTTTTTTATTCACGTGGGACCCACAACATGTGAGAGGATATCAACCATTTGGGCAAAAAATCTCCGAGAAAAACAACAAAATTCTTTGTGATCAGATCCCTGGTCAGCTCTTACCTTGATAATTGGCTCGAAAACCTACATATATCTATTGCTTATTCAGTTACTACATAATATTATACGCCTTTCATGCTCTCTTTACTCACTATAATATTTACTTTTTTTTTTGGAGTTTGTTGCACCCGGGCTGAAAAGAGATTTGTATGTCTTAATGCACAAGTTTGCTTATTTGTTTATTTATTTTTATGCTCTCACAGCTTCTCACAATATTTATTTTTTCCTTCTTTGTATTTTTGAAGGTCAACCCTAAAAGAGAGTGCATCTAGACTGAAAAGAGGTGAGTGTCCGTGCACATAAAATAGTAGAAGGACCAAATTAATTAGAGTAATGCTATTTAACATCGAATGTACGATGAATCGATGATCCTTCGGTGTTCTCAAATGTTACTTTACTGTTTCGGGGTGGTAATTATTCTATGATTTTTGGTAAATTAATGTGGTTCCCACTTAGTTATGTCTACTTATAATTAATGAGGATGGCTCGCATTTCAAACACTTTCGGCAGACAATTTTAAGTGAAAACCCATCTGTCTTGTGGTTTAAGTTTAGTTTATAAATGGTGTGCTGAATCATATATTGAGAATATTCCACTGATAGATAGATAAAATGGTCTCTTTTGCAGTACCAATAAATTTTTGTACCTACAATAGAAATAACTAAATAAATAATCTTGCTGCTTCGTGAACAAATGAAAAACTAATGGAATTCACAGAGACCATAAAAAATGGCCGACCTGACCAAGGTATTATCTAATGGATGGACGGACTAGATTGGACAGTGACCTGTGTATGGTAGTCGATTTGGTCTGCTTTCTATTTTTTACTTTTATGGTACTTCAACATCTAAAAAGTCATCACTCAAAACCCCAGGTTATTATATTCTAAATAAAGAGTGGACCTCAACTCCAACTAAAATGATGGTAGTATAAATTGTGCTACATAGCGAGATTGTTTATCATAATATTGATGGATTGATCATCATGTCTTCTCGAGAGAGTCGCAACATTACGAACAATTCATGGAAGTAATGTAACTTCTGTGCGACGTAATGGTTGGAGACACTCGAAATAAGATGCGGGTAGAAATGATATATTTCAGTTTAATAAGTGTAGAATTGATTAAAGAAAAATTATTTACAGTGAGACCAGAAATTAATATTCTATAAAAAGTAAAAAGCACCAAAAGCAGTGCACATGTGCAAGACGAGAGAATATGCGACTTCAGGAAAAAGGAAATTGTTTGAATGGACGCAGTGGCGGACCCACATGGAGTCATGTGAAGTCAAATGACCTCACAGCTTTTCGAATATTTTTCTCCCCTTTCTTAAAACATAATTTTCTGTCAAAATAGTGAATCAACCAATTAATTTCCCTAGCCCAATGTTCAAAAAACCCAAACTCAAATTCTATTGTAGTAGCATATATATTCTTATTTTCGTTAATGATACATTGTTCAAAAAAATTTCATTTTTGACCCCACAAATCAAACTGTCTGCGTCCGCCGCTGAATGTACGGCTTTGATTAACAGCACATATATATATTTGACCCAATTATTAAAGTATGAACCTTTGTTCATTATTTAAAATATAAAGGTCTGACCAGCTGCTGATTGGATTCTTCAGTTGCCAATGAAGGACCCACCAGTATCTGCCACTACAAGAGTGGTGGTAATAGTTATTTTTAAAGGTGGGCGCGGGTAGGTTCGGTTCGGTTCTAAAGAGAATCGAATCGAACCAAAATTTTCGGGTATCTAGTAAATGGAACCGTCGGGTCCAAATATAATTACGGAACCATTCGGGTTCGGTTCCGTTCAATTCGGTACTTTAATTAAATTTTTTAACATTTATAACAACATTATATAAGTACAACTAATGACACATACAATGGCTTTGGAATGTCAGAGACTAATAGACTACCTTGTTCAAATGATCGCTACGGTCAAAGCTTCGATCAGAGGTCACAACGTCAGCCGATGATTGTATAGGTTTTGGAATGTCAACGAAACTGTGAGAGTGAGTGCGAGAGTTGAGACAGCGTTATGCATTTTAGTGTAGGTGTTTAGGGTTATTTAGTGGATTGGATCTTATTGGGCTAAGAAATGAAACAATAAAATGGGTAATCGGGCCAAAAATTAAAAAATTAAAAATGAAACAAATTATTGGGCCAAAAATTTGGATTTAGAAATTGTTAATTTGCTAATTTGTTTAGAAAAATTAAAACTAAAATAATTTGATTTATTCAATATAAAAAAAATTAAAAAGATTCAGTTCTTATTCAGTTTTTCGGTTCTTGGTCTAAAATCCAGAATCGAACCGTACCCGTCGGTTCTCAATTCAGATACCCGTTCGGGTATTTAATTCGACAAGAATCGTCGCGTTCGGTTCAGTTCGGTTCGATCGGTTCGGTTCGGGAGATTTGTCCGGCCCTAGTTATTTTCCTGATGATTGAACAATTTTCAGAAGATTATGAAAGTTTGATCTATGTAACTGAATCAAAGTCCAATGATTATTATAATGCACGTCTGGCAATAAAAGTCTGCATTTCTTTTGGTACCTTGGCTTTGTCTATCTAGTAATTAAAGACTGCTTGAGTTTTTATATCTTTGCAATCTTGCAGCAGTTATATCATTTGACAATTTTCGATATAATGTAGTATTTGTTGATTATTTTTTGAAAATACACATGATTTTACACATTATAGTTAAAATCTTAAGTTACTCGAGTTTTTTATAAATTCAAATGTGTTGCAGAGAAATATTTTCAAACTTGCATTATCACACTAGGGTGATGAATATCGAGGCCTTCTTTGCCCACATCTAGTAAAAATATGGTATTCAACATCTTTACATCTTTTTTGTCCCCCCTTCCACCCTCCACATAATTGGTGCTGCTGACCATCCTTATCATTGTATCGTTTATACCATTCTCACACTCATACACCAAGCCTTACTTCTCCTAAAATATTAGTAAGCTGTCTTTCAAATTGTCACCTATCTTATTAATTGTATTCCTATTTCCATTTTATATTGGCATTTTTGCTTAGTCTTCAATTTATCAAAATTATTATTGATTAACGTTTCAACTCCAAACATATTTGAAAATTTCACTTACAAAAAAATAAAGTTATGTTTTTAAAAACGCTTCTCACTTTATTGTCAAAATAAATAACTTATTTTTATCGATAATAATAACTATCTGTTTTTAAGAAGTATGTTCACTTTAAAGTAAACTTTTTAAGCTTGGCCAAACATGATTGCTTGAAACACAACAAGAACAACAAAATTAGTATGCCGTATGCTAATCGCTCAATGCCAATTTGCAATTCTAGCCCACCCTAAACTCATCTTAGGAACTAATAAAGAGACACTCGATCCCATAGAAAACATAATGATCCCTTGTGAAATAAAATTATTTCCAGAGACTATTAAAAAAAGGAGGGATATCAATCTTGCTCCGTCCTGGTACTCCTCCTCATGTGTCTCTTTGTGACTTCTGATTAACTTCGAACTCGCAACTTAAGAGAAATTTTTTATTTTTAGCATAATCTAAATTTCGAAAGTCCATAACTTTGACCTAGACATATTCTCTTGTGCTCAGTTAGAAAGTTGGTGTCTCCGCTCTCGCCTCACTCATTCCTGTCGCATTCAGTGTAGAATGTGATACAAGCCCTTTGTTGGCCCTTTCCATATTCAATTCATAAGGCAAAATGGTCTTATTTTAGAGAAATTTTCAGAATAATCAGTATTTGTATTTAAAAATCTAAAATAGGGCAAACGTCCGAGGGTCCGGCTAATGTAGTTTGTAAAATAGTATATTTAACATTTGGATAAAGATATTTGTACTCACACATTTGTACAAAATATTTTATTCACTCTCACATAAACTTAGGCCCCACATGAAATGAAAAATACCAACATGTGATCCCCACCCTTCCACTGTGAGTGTACATAAATCATTTTGTACAAAAGTGTGTATATATCTAACACTCTCCTTAACATTTTAGTACATGGGACTTCATATTTGACACAAATATTAGTCAAATGAAACAAATG